AACTTCCAGTCCTATATAGCATCAACGCATGCATAAAAAAAGTATAAACACGTGAAAATAAACTCCATAATTCTAACATATGTTTGTAACGAAAGGAAACGCTGCGCTGCAGATGACGCCAACAGACACCGTGCATAGTATACTATGACGCAGGGTGGAGTATACTAGTAGCTGTACACTAAGAAATATAAAGAGAAGAGATGTACCCTCTGTTGGTGCTAGCTTAAAGAAACTCTTATACTTCATCCATTTTATAATGGATGTTTTTCCTGCTTGGGCGGGGCCAGCGACACGGATCTGGTGGACCTTCTTTGTACAGCACAGACGGAGAGTGCTTGAGAAGCAGCTATTGAAAGCCCCCATTTCGTATTCTTCTCTGCAACCAAAATACTTGCTGGCTACGTCTGTTGTTGCACCTCGCACACACGCGATAAAGTTTTTGCCTCGCCGGGCAGCTGTTTACTTCAAAGGGTCAACACAACAGGAAAGCTGCTAGCCGCTTCAGCTTGATGAGCCTGGAGAATGAAAGAACACGTCAACTGATGATAGAAACCACGTGAAAGCTGCGATGGATGCACTCGCAAGAATGCCATGGGGAGCTAGCTCGACAAGCAGCTCAAGCGGAGAGAGCCGGCACCACCACAGATTGCGTTGAAAGAAAGATAAAGCCAAGTCTTCGTCCCGAGATGTCCATGCACACTAGGTGGCCAGCAGCATGGTGGCGCTTTTCTATGGCGAGGCTGCCGGGTGTCAACGCATCACAGTCAGTCAAATATGCATGCGCCTCTTCTGTACAAGGCGCATGCTACTAATGCCGCACATTAAGAAATACTCGGCTTCGACGCAATAAGTACGTTGCTGTACATACACTACAAGTCAAAACTACACAATCCCCAAATCCTTGAACATGAATTCTTCAGTTGAGGTGTATGAGAGCTTGCCGTGGGCGGCAATGGAGTCACAGCCGCCTGCGACCGTGATCAAGAGACGGGTTTTTTGGGGTATTTAAAGTACCAATAAGCCGAAATTAGTTAAAGTTCTTCGATATGCGGCGTGAAATTCAATAAAACGCTGCGGATGATGACTTTAGGTTGGCCGCGATCAGAGGCGCCACAAGGCAGCGACCACAGCCAGCCGGAGGCGTAGCTGCCTAAAATTCGTCCGATCCGTAGAAATGTCAGTACAAATGAAAATAGTTTACAACACTCTATACAAAAATGTCACAGTTGGCATCTATTGCTCTCACCGAGCTGAAAGCAGTAAAAACCACCTTGAATCAGGGCCTTGCGCGGCGCGCGGCCGCAGCCCTTGCAAGAAGACCGGTGCATGTACATTCATGAACAAAAACATGAAATGAATATTATTATCTATGAAAAAAAACAAAGAATTTCACATACAAATCAGTTTAGCTCGTGTGATGCCTCCAATTCAATACTTTCTAATCGGGGGGTGTGGTATACGCACGGTTCGCGTACTTTTCTGCAATCTCGTTTTTCTTTTTTTCAATACTTAAGAATTTTTTCATGAATTCAGAATGCAACATGATCTTATACTCCAGAAGAGATCAGAAGAGGTAACAACAGTACCTTCAGCCTCCCCGCCGTGTGCTTGTACCCGCCTCACATCGGCTACGTCGATAAAGTAATATTTATTCAACAAAATGAAAAGAAAGATATTCATATCATGAACACAGGCGCATGTCGCCAGGCAGAGATGAGAAGAAAGCGTCTTTGTGTTTCAGGCGGCCTGGGGATGCGGTTTCAGTTGAATTGTATGTATGGATGTATGTGTAAGCAGA